TCCCCCTCTCTCTCCCTCTCTCTCTCTCTCTCTCTCTCTCTCTCTCTCTCTCTCTCTCCTATTGTGTTGCACTCTGCTGGTTTCTGAAGCCCGTGGAGTTCAATACATAATGTTGCCGTAAACATTAACCATGGCCTGATGTGTAACAGTTTCATTGTCACATGTCAGCTTTAATCTATGAGGATATGTGTAAGTCACTCACCTCAAAGTTCTCCTATAAGTACTTTCCAGACAGGTAAGTATGCTGCCATGTTGTCTTTTGCTGAGCTGTATTTTTAGGTAGGCCACAGGATAAAGCTAGATTCTAGACCTCTGATTGATAAGTTCATGTTAAAGTGTAGTGCAGTTAGACTTATATTGAAGCTGAGCTTTCCAGTCCACTAGTCGCCTGTCCTTGATCAGAGTTAACATTTTCAGGTCCATGCTTGCAAAATTTGCACTTTCAATTCAGTCCTGTGAAAGCTTTATGTGATCGGGTGGTACAAGGATTGTGTGAACAATCTACAGCGCATGCCCGGTTGATAACTAGTTCTGCGGCCTCATCAGTCTTTTTGCTGTACATAGCTGACTCCAGAGGTTTGTATACTTTACCAGCCATGCTCCCAGTTGGGTACAACAATCCATTAGCAGCACTGGTTGAGCTTTGTTGAATGGAACTGGGTGGAAGGGCAGGTAATGCCCCTTATTATGTTCTTGGTCATTGCATGGAAAAAGACGTGGCTATATGTAAAATCTGATGTACTTAGTCTATAGACAAACCTTTTGTTTTTTCTTTTGCAGAATCTACATTGTCCATGACGAAGTAAAAGATAAATCATTTGAACTGGAACTGAGCTGGGTTGGAGAAAGTAAGGATTTATATTTGTCATAGGCTGATCAACATGTTTGACTTGAGGATCATGATATGTTGTATGTTTGCTAGTACACACATCCAGGTTACACCATGCCTGCAATGCGTGTCTTGGCTGCTCTGTGTGGGGACTGTTCATAGTGTAGTTGGGAGATCACAGTACAGTCTCATATTGTTGTATTGTCTGTCTGACACACAACAACCTGATGCGGCCATGCTCAGACTGCCTTTTGAAATGACATGTCCAAAATGAAGAGACCATTTGGACTTTTATTGATGCCGGATAGCCACTCTGAAACTAGAGGACCAGCCTGTTGTTTCTACCAGTGCTCTTTTTAGTCTTGGGTCCTTTCAAATCTCCCAAGGCTGCAAAGACTTTCCCATTGTGCCCGCTATTGCAGCTCTTCCTCTATTCTAGATTAGAAACACCCTGACAAACTGTTTGCTCCCCCCCCCCCAGGTGCTTATTGGCCTTGTACCCATTTGGGGAGGATTTTTGTGTAAAAGTGTCCCTCTTTAACAAAGTACTTACTATTCCAGTAGAAGATGTGCCAGTAAGCGGTTGGAAGCCCTCTCTAGAACACTGTTCTCGCTGGCAGGCCAAGCCCTTCACCTCATCATGGCTCTGACTTTCCTTTTGTCAAACTTTGGCTAACTGGTTAAAATCCCTTAACAGAGATCCCACCACTGCTGTGGTTGATTCCTGAGAACAAGTTGAGCAAATGGCTGGAGCTTTACATGTTCAGTTGTGGGGGTTTCCTGGAAGCTTCTCGACTTATCTCTTGCGTAGGTTTCCTTTTAGTACACTTTGGTTAAAGTGCTGGACTGCAGAACCCTTGTGTTGGAATTGTGTGTGTATGGCCTTTGAGAGATGTCTTAAAAATGCATTCTAGTATATTAACAATAACAAAAATGTATCTTACTTGTGTATCACTCGGCTGTAGATCCTCCAATGATCTCTGAATTGGTGCTGACACTGTCCTTCCTTCTGGAGGGTGGCTACTTTTGTTCCCCATGGTCCCTGTGTGTGTTGTAAAGTAGTCACCGCTCCAAGCTCACTCTTGTGATGGACTACAATCTCATATTTAGTTTACTAATTTGTATTGAGATTGTAGTCCATGACGGGAGCGAGCTTGGACTGTTGCCTACTTTACAACACACACGCACCATGGAGAACAAAAGTAGCCACCCTCCAGAAGGAAGGACAGTGTCGGCACCGATTCAGAGATGATTTGAGGATCTACAGCCGAGTGATACACAAATAAGATACATTTTTGTCATTGTTAATAATATACATGAATGGATTTTTAAGATTTAACTCGAGTTTATTGTGTCACTTGAAATGACTAAATGAAGAGTACGGTCTGTTTTGACCATAACATCTAATCACAATCTCCTGCTCAAGTCTTTCTTGTGCAGAATAAGAGAATGAAAAGAAAGTTCTAGCGTCACTTCTCGGGGTGTACACACATGTTATGTAATTTACATAAGAGTAATACCTGGGAGCCGTACTGGAAAACCTACATTGTTGGGAGTCCATTCGGAACACAGACCCCTTTATAGTCCGGCACGTGTGTGACAAACTCTGAGTCAGTAGGCTCTTCTTATTTACACACAATCTAACACAGGCAGTTATTTCATGCACCTCCAAGGATAAGGCGTGCATGCGTGCGCGCTGCTTTCTGTTCATACATAGCAAAGGAATAAAATCCATCCAGCTTTATAGGTCGCTGAAGGACATTCACAGGGTTAGGTGGTGGAGTGCGTTTTTCCATACACACCCCCTGATGTGACAAATGTAAGCTTTTTCTGTGATGGGGATTAGCTGCACGGTAATAGGCAGTTTGGATGAACTCCGGGCAAAACTTTTCTTAACCCTTGCAGTGCTGTGGTGGCCCCGCTGCAAAAGTGCTCGTTCTCATCTAGGTGCAGAAATGACCGTTTTACTTATCCGGACTTCGCAGCCAGCTGTCACAGCGCTCCCTCCAGCAATGGAATGTCCCTCAGCGTCTTCACGTCCAATACTCAGTGTAATGAATGTGACGACTCCAGCATCCTTAGACCGCTTGAGCGGAGGGAGAGGCTGGAAGGGCCGGTCTAAGAGGCGGCCATCTCTAGGGATCAGGGGAGTATCACTTTATTTTTACACCTAGACCAAAACAAGCAGTTAACCCTTGTAGTGCGGGGTAGCCCTGCTGCAAAGGTTAAGACAAATGTTGCCCGGAGTTCTTATGTTATCTGTACTAGCCCAGGGATGGATCTCTCTTCCCTGTTACCAGAACAAGATGTTATTTACACGTCTCCCATCGACATGTCAGCTATGTCAGGCAGAGTTCACCGTACATGGTGTAAGCCTAGACCAGCGTATCTTTTTCTTAATGATTGGGGAGAGATCTGCCTGTGTGTGGTCAGGTTGCTCATGTACAGGAGTTAGATGAATGGTTTCTGTACAGCAACTAATGGGTCCGCCTCGCCTGCTGCTTCTAGTAAATTCAATAGAACAATTCAGAACTTTCACGGGTCTGACTATCTTTAGCTGGTGAAGAAGCAGACAGGCAATGGCGGCTTCTCCTTCTAGAAATGTACGTTTCCTGGCTGCCAGGCCGGCCCATTGGGTTCAGTATTTTTAGAGGTACTGACCTAGAACAAGTCTAACCCAACACCAAGAAACTCCTCTTCAGAATCAAATATGACCTTTTTTTTTTTTTGTACAGTTACTAACGGAAAACATGAAGTTGTACCGAAAGACGTGCGAGAAGCAGCTGAAAAATATGCCAAGGTGATTGGATGGATGGGATGGATGGATGGGATCGGGGGCGGATCTTTTTATTTCTGTCTTTGTTTTCTATCCAGACTTCTTACAATGTGTTTCTCCCATAACAGGAATCTTTAGAAGAAGAAGACGACTCCGATGATGACAACATGTAACTTAATTTTTGGTTATATCGACTTTATTTCCAAGTGCTGTTTTTATATCTATATATGTATGGACCTGAAAAGACTTTGTGTGGCAACTGGCAATAAAACCGCTGTTTACACTTATTTCTGAATGATACCGTGTTCTGGGATTTGGGGTAAAAACATACAGGGGGGGGAGGGGGGATTTATGAAAACTGGAGCAGTTGCTCATAACAATCAGCTTCTCTCTTTCATTCTCAAAGCGTAACGGAACAAACTGAAGAGAGAAGCTGATTGGCTATTATGGACAATGCTCCAGTTTCTGTCCAAGTTTAGATAACTTCCCCTTCTGATGATTTGGTGCTTTCCAGAGCTTTTCCTATACCATTCATATTCTAGAAATACCTGCTAATGGCGTCAGTATGAAGGAGTTCTAGTACCTGTACATTACCTATCTGGCCCTCCAGTGAAACCACAAATCCCATCATGCCCCTGCTTCTAGGAGTCATGACTGCGGTTGTGTCTTGCAATGCCTCATGGGATTTGTAGTTACACCAGAGTTTGTGTATCCCTGCTATATACAGAAATGTATGACAAGGGGCTCTGCGTGGGTTCTTAGATACGGAAGGAATGGAGGCAGCTGCAGCTTTGCAGTGATTTAAAGGAAAAGGACCTAACTTGGGATGTTAAGGGGAAACTAGAGTTTGTGCCTCACTCTGTGCACGTGAAATCAGCATAATGGAAATAATTAGGGTTGCACCGAAAACTGGTATTTCGGTAACGAGTAACGACTTATTTTTTTTTTGGTATTCACCGTTACCGAAAGTCCCCATTAAGGAAGCCGGGCAGCTTGTAATGATTTGCTACCTGGCTTCCCAATTAGCAGGGAAGCTGTCCCCATGCTTCTCGTCACTAGGTGAGCCGGCTTTCTGGCCAATCAGGAAGCTGGGCGCCGGCTTCCTGATTGGCCGAGAAGCTGGCTTCATGCTCCCTCGTCATGAGGGGACGAGGGAGCATGAAGCTGGCTTCCTGGCCAATCAGGAAGCCAGGCAGCAAGTCATTACACACTGCCCAGCTTCTTCATTGGCCGGGCAGCTGGCTTCATGCTCCCTCGCCCCAATCAGGAAGCCAGGCAAAAAAAAATTTTTTTGTTCAATTCTGCAACATCAGTTTTGGGTAAACGTCCATAGCCCAATATCTCCGCTCCTTCACAGCAGCACCATAGAGAATGGTGGGTGCACACCAGCCGAGCTCGTCTTCCTCCAGCATCAGCAGTTACAGAAAGTCCGGTCACACACACCACAAGCTATTGTAGCACATACAGTAGGTACACATGGTCCTGCCATGGATCCTGCTCACTGACATGTTTCACCCAATATTGGGCTTAGTCATAGAGTTCTATGAACCATGATACATGTCAGAGTGAGGAGGATCCATGGCAAGAGCATGTGTACCTGTGCGCTATAATAAACTTTTCAATGAAGCTTGCGGTGTGCAACCAATACACACTGGTCCCCATACTCCGACCAGTATCCGGTACCAGTTTTGGGTTGACTGACCCTTTTGAGTTTAGGTTTCTAGGTTGGCACAAATGGTTTGCTGTGTTTTCGGTGAATAATGATGGTATCGGATCTGGAAAGTTTGACTGATGGCCTTCTAGATCTGCACCCAGGTAGCTAATAATCACTAATGCAGATGGTTTCTATTCATCATCTCCGATCATACAAAGCAAGGACATGTATCATATCCCCAATTATAAAAAGAATAAACTTGTCAAATCCATTCTTTTTCCACTGTGGAAGGTATTGCTTTCATTTCCATTTACTTATTGTATCAGAGCAAACCTATTCCTGAATGCACACTACATTATTCCCATTCATCTACTCGTTCACTAGGTAACTAAGAGGCAATCCTTCATACTCTCACTACGGCCACTGGGGGGCAGTCTACTGCTGGGGGAGAGCTGTGTGGGTGCGGAAGGCATATCAAGCGGCTGTCAAAAGCAGTTGGCTCCATGCCATTGTTGAGGTTTATTCTACAATAGTGGGGGAGGAAGAGGAAAAGCAGGTCATTACTCTACAATAAGGAGACCAGGGATCATTCCTTTGCATTAAATTAAACAACTGGGAAATGTAACAAGACCCCGGTGTTTAAATCCCTGAGCTTGCTGTCTTGTCTACCACTTCTTGTTTTTGCCTTTTAGCATTGGGCTAAGACTAGTAAAAAAAAGGAACAAACAATAAGCTTACAGATGTCAGATCTAAAGAAGATTTCTAAGGGTTGCTCTGTGTTATTGATTAAAGGAGAACTATGGGGTCAGTGTTTTTCCCCATAGTTCTCCTTGGGGTAACGGGAGGACACAAACTAGCGTCCTCCCGTCACCCTAAGCTCAGTATACCGCGAGCTACAGCTCACGGTATACTAAGACGCCGCAGCTGGAGCGGATCCCGACTTAGATGACGGGATCCACCCAGCTGCGTGAGTGACAGCTGGCTCTGCCTATCTAGAGGCAGAGCCAGCTGTACCCGCCCCGTCCGTTCCGCCAGTCAGCACTGACAGATCGGAGAGGGGAATCCAGCCCCTCCCCCTGTCACGGCAGAGAGCCGTGACAGGATCGAGAGGTGAGGGAACCCTTTATGTGTTCGCTCACCTCCCGATCTACTGAGCCGACCTGTGACAGTCTCATTGTCACAGGTCGGCTTAGAACTATGAGGTGAGTGGAACTCACTCATGTCATAGTTCTCCTTTTAAGCTTGTATGCTTATTCACATTGCTAAACATAGAGAACTGGCACTCTGGCCGCTGGTATAAACACCATAGAAGTCATTCTCTATGTCACTGTTCTTGTGCAACAACTGAACTGAAAACCACCTCCCAGCAGCTTTTACTGAGTACCTGATCCTTTCATTGATCACATTTCACAAGACACACGTGACCACAAGGTAAATGCTGCCGTGCGAGATTGCAGCCACTTCCATGTGAAGGATTAGCTTGCTTTGCACTGGCAATGTACATACAAAGTTCAGTATTATTAAACATTGTCGCTGCATACTAGTCCTGCGTATCACAATTCCTAAAGAGAAGTGACTAAAATCTCGGCCTCAGTTTGTATGGTAACTTTAGTGTAAGGATTTCATGTTTTATAAATGCTGCTAAATAAGCGCATTTCCCTACAAAGAAAGTAATATGTGGGCCATAGCCAACCAAAAGAAAATCTCACAGGGGAAATATTTAAAGTGACACTAAACTCAGGAGTTAAATCTTAAATGCATTCAAGTACCCAAACTATTACCATAAATGTATCTTATCGGTATATCACTCGGCTGTAGATCCTCAAATCATCTCTGAATTGCTGCTGACACTGGCCTTCCTTCTGGAGGGGGGCTACTTTTCTTCCTGTGTGTTGTAAAGTAGTCACCACTCCAAGCTCACTCCCATGATGGACTACAAATCAGTAAACTAAACGTGAGATTGTAGAATGGGCTTCCTTAACACAATGCACTTCAGAACAGATGCACATAACGGAAACGCATGGTAACAGACCTGATGGGTTAGAATAGGGGCCTAACGTGTCATTTTATACATTGATGTCTCTGGTCAGTAACTCAAAGTATTGAAACAAACCGTTGTCATCAGACGATTTATTACACCAAATATCATTCCATAAAATTACATGTGCACTTTATGTGTTTTATACATGTTATTTAGCTGTAAAAGCCTCCCTTGCATCTGCATCTCAACGTACTGAGACTGCTGCTGGGTGGCGCCATCTTGGATGTCATGTCAGCAGTGACACTCTATAGCAGCATTTCTCAACATTTTTCCAGTCAGTGAAGTGTGAGAAATCTCCAGGCACTGCAGACTAAAATGTAAAGAAAAAAAACCAACAGCCTCCCTCAAAATTCATGCCAAACCTTCTTCTAGACGTGGATCTGGTATGGATTTTAAGGGGTGACCACAGGCAAAAAAAAAAACCTGTAGTTTCCCCCTTGATTTCAGTGTCTGTCCTCCCCTTTCTTATCAGAAGCCCCCCTGTGCACATGGGGAGCACCTTTCAGATCAGAAGCCCCCCTGTGCACATGGGGAGCACCTTTCAGATCAGAAGCCCCCCTGTGCACATGAGGAGCCCCTTTCAGATCAGAAGCCCCCCTGTGCACATGAGGAGCCCCTTTCAGATCAGAAGCCCCCCTGTTCACATCAGACATAGGGGACAAAGGAGATAATGGATAGTTGTGCAATGGGGTATCCGGACTGACCCGTCACATGAGCGTTCCCCACTTTAGCAAAAATCTGAAGACACCCCCTGTTGCCATGGCACTCTAGTTGAGAAATGCTGCTCTATAGTAATGACCTTCCTCTGCAGATATGTAAAAGGTGATGGAGGGAGGTAAGGGGAGGAGTGCAGACAGTAACTAGGCAGTCCCAGGAGGGCTATGATGTTCAAGCCATGAGGGCCCATTCACACCACCCAGTGTGTTCATCACACAGTCCCATGTCATGAATGCACCGGATTGTGTAAACAAAGCCTCCCTGCATTCTGGGAGGGGGTGTGGTGGTGTCACCTCATTTCAATGGCACTGCAGTGCAATCACCCGCACTGGAACACATGGTGATGCAATGCCCTGCGTTCCAGTGTGGAGCGATCACATAAAATATCGCATGCACGTGTCTGCGCTGTCATTGAAATGAGTGGCACCACCGTACCCCCTCCCGCCCTAGAATGTGAGGAGGCTTTGCTGACCCGATCCAGTGCGTTCATAGCACAGGACTGCACGGTGTGTGTGTGTATGTCTGCAAGCAGCTGATTGGTCTGAATTTTTAGTGCCTTAGATTGCAATCCATTTGGAAAACGAGGATTGTGACCGCAGCATGGATTTAATGAGCTGTTTCTACAGCGTCCATTTACAGTAAACGTGTGACGGCCGTCCCCTAATGCACTATTTTTGTTCTGACTTACGACATCTAAAGCAGATCTGCAGGCGCGAGCCGTGTGATGAAACCAGAGGAAGTGGGAGCCAACCTTCCTGCATGAAGCAATGGATTTGTTTTGTAGTGAACACAAGTGTGTCATGCGTCACAGTTATGCAGAGCTCAGCGTGTTTGCTGTGTTTTCAGCACAGGCACACCCTCCCTGCAACCAAATCTC